TCACCTCTGGGAGAGTTGCGCCCCCCCCCCCCCCCGGCATAACACTGGCATCTCCCTTCCAGAGCATCTTGCCTACTGCCGAGTTCACAAGTCTCATCCTCCTTGCATTTTTGTACATGAAAAAAGAAAATCTTTGAAAAGAAGAAACATAAGGAAATGGAGAGGACGGGGAAATGCCCAGCTCCTTATTTTTTTTTAATGTCTGTTTTTCCCCAATAAATAACCTCCATATAAAAAAGATATTTTTCCATTATCATTAAATGAAACTTTAAAAACCTTCACAATAGTTCCAAAGTTAGCATTTGTACTTTACCTGCTAAACAAATATATAGATTGGAGCATGCTCAGTGTTTCTCTATAAAGTGATTCAAACCAGCCTGCAGCTTATAAAACGGTCCAGAGAAAATTGCATTAAACAAGTCTTACATCTAAATCAGATGTGTAACCTCCCTATTTAAAATAAATTTTAAAAGTATCATAAGCAAATTCAACTCCATCAGTGCAGTGTGATAAATTCAGATCATTTGTCATGCCTATTTTCTCTCTCATTAATATTTTAAGAAGATTCTACAGCCTAGTGTCATTAAGGTTTTTAGAAATGCAAAAACAAATTTGTTCTATTAAAAATAGTAAGGTGATGTGTGTTCTTCAAAAATGTAAAATAAGAAAAGAATGTTATAGCTTTTTTAAAAAAAAAAAGTTTTATACTAAATTCACGGATGAGTATAACCTTCAAGTCACCTTCAAGAAGAGTGGTGAAAGTGAAAAAGTCTAATATAAAATAAAACATTTTACTAAACATGGAACTGGGTCCATTCGTTTCTAAGCCATGAGAACTGGCTTCTCTCAGTAAAGGGACTGTTGTAATTCTCTGCATTAGCCTGTAATGTCCAGACTAAACAGTACTACTTGTGACATTGAAGTTTCCATTTTAAGCTCTAGACACTAGATTTAGCCTGAGTAATTGGTCATTATTTTGTATGCAGTGCTTTCCTTTTTCTGAAACTGGTAGGAAGCGTAACAATTTCTGAGCTCATTTAGATCCAAGGCAAAACAGGCTAATTGTGAAGTTAGACATGTGTTTCCTTGTAAATGTCTCTCTGCAGAGTCATCTCATTTTCCAAAGCCCTACAGAAAACTAACAGCAGAAACCTGCCCGTTAGCCATGTGCTCTCATTGTAGAAAGTGCTTTCCCTGCATGTGCAACGTGAAACTGCCAAGGGGTTTTCTCTATTTTAATAAAAGCAGAAAATCCGTAAGGAACGAGGCAGAATGGCTGCACAATTAGCACTTGGCCTCATCTAGACCATATCCTGCTGGGCTGAACCCTGAGATCCGCAGTACTTTACAGAAGGCAGAGGTTTTCTTCCTCTCTTCCTTTATGTCTCCATGGGAAACCAGAAAGCCCAGTTTTACATTATTCACAACTCAGTCCCCTCACTCTATCATCTGTCTCTCTCAGCAACTTGAGAGCTGGGCTCTCCTGGCCTGAGAGATAACAGCCAGTCACTCAACAAACTAGACCATCCTTCCCCCACCACCTGCAATGCTGCAGTTTCATGTTAATTAACCAAAAGTAACCAAAGTAACCCCTTCGGTTTTAAATGATATTTTATTTTAATACAAATAAGCCATGAGAGTTTATGAAAATAAAACCTCAAGAAACTCAAGCTTTCTCTGACTACTTACTGCTTAGAATGACCTTGTCATCTAATAAAACATGGATAAGAAAAAAAATACCATGTTGAGGAGAAGCTACTTCAAGCTTGGGCCTCTGATCTGTATGAGCAGTGGTTTCTTCTCATCCAGAGCAAGCTTTTCCCAATCACTTGAACCAGCGGCCCCTGCATTCTTTCAGTCTCTTTATCTTGCAGTATTCCCAACTTTTTAACCCTGAATTACCCCCAATGGTTTTACCCAAAATAGGGGGATGTTTTAAACCATGCATCAGACAGCAGAAAGTCGATGTAGAGTCCTTGTTTAAATAAACGCTTATTGAAAGGTATGGAAAAATCTATTTCAAATCAGTCGTTAAAATTTCAATGGGAAATACATTACTTAAAATGGAAGGAAAATATCTAGTTTAACTTCTTTAATATAGTGGTGTATCTGTTGGGCCAACTTTGAATTAATTTAAAAATAATTTGAATGCCTTCTCAGTCATTACATAGAGTATTGAACCAAAAGATGGCCAGGCAATTGTTCGTGTTCAAACTTATCCTAAACTGTATTACCCTAGACTTTTCAGCTCAGCAGGTTTCAAATTCCCCTTTCCAAGGAATATTTGACCTTCACATTTCAGCCTCTATATCTCTTGGTTTCCAGCATTCATCGTATGTTAGAGCAGCCACACTGGGTTACAAGTACATATTTCTGTTAACTGACTTTAATACATTTTGGTTGTTTTCAAAATCTGCAATCTGTTCATTGTGCCAACCCTGCATTGCAGAGAAGTCTTTGCAGAGTGCGATTCCAGCTTGGCTCCTGCAAACAGAGGCACTAGAAACAGTATTGAATCGTCTTTACTAGAGAAGAGAGGGCAAAAGGACCCCTTCCCACTGCCCACAGTACAGACCAGGCAGAGAGGAAAGCCCCGGGTAGCAGTCTCCCGCTCGCCGGCCTGGGCGCTGTCCTTGGTGCTGCCGGCGCCATAGCGAGCACAAGCGCCTTACCTTCTTTCTGCCCCAGAGGAAGCGGCGGACGTCCCCCAAACGTTAAGCAGAACGCAATGCCATATCCCTCTTTTGATACAAATAACTACCCTGGCTTGTCCTCTTTGTACCCTACCCGAAGACTTCAGGCAGACCGTTCCTCAAAGTCTTTTTTTTTTTTTCTTTTCCCTTCTAGCCCCAACTCCTCTGCGCTCAAATCCGGCAGCTTTAAGAAAAGGAGAGGGGGAGGGGAGGAGAGGGAGACAAGGGGGAATAAAGCTGGGAGGGGAGCAGAGGGAATGTAGGGGGAGGGGAAGGATCCAAGGAGGTTTAGCAAAAGAGTGAAAGAAAAAGGTCCCAGAGGAAGGGGCTCAAGGGGGGGAGGGGGGACACTGAGCCGAAAGAAGACGAGATGTAGGAGGGAGAAGGGGGACCAAAACGAGGGGGAAGCGGCTAGCACAGAAGACGGAAAGAAAAAAGTAACGGAGAAAGAGTAAAAGAAGAAAAAGCGGTGAGGATAAGAATGCAAAGGGCTAAAGGAGAACGAGGGACCAGGGTGTCCGGAGAAGAGCTGCCCGGACTATGGGAGGGTAACAGACAAAGAAAGGGCATTGGGTGGATCTTCGCACCAAGGGTGGCAAATGGAGAGAGGGGAGATTGCCGGGCGACAAGTGGTTTGGGACGGAAAAGAGCTGGAGGGCAGAGGCTGGGACTCGGGCAACAAAGTCCGGGTCCGATGCGGCGCGGGCCCACGTGGAGCGTGCGCTGAATCACCACTAAGCTGCACCCCTATCTTTGCCCTGCACCACCCCCCCGCCCCGCCAACCCTGCCGGGTGCCCGCAGTCCCCGCCTCCCCGGCCGCCGCCTCCACGGGGCGGGGCCCTGGCCCGGGACCAGCGCCGCGGCTATAAATGGGCTGCGGCGAGGCCGGCAGAACGCTGTGACAGCCACACGCCCCAAGGCCTCCAAGATGAGCTACACGGTGGACTCGCT